GAAGGTCAGCAGTAATCGAAGTTGTTGTTGGCTTGGGCAGGGGGGAAGGAAGAAGGCTTYGAAGAACTGAGAGTGGGCCGTGGAGTGGGCTGACCTAAGGCAAATGGGTTTGGAATACAGCCTGTTGTTACAGAGTTTACAAGCTGTTGCTTTCATTCACGCTGTAAAATCAGAAGTGCATTGGTCTCACTTATTTGGGTTAATGAATGTGACAGTTAGTGGGATGAGGAGGGAGGAGACAGTGATGAGAATAGAAACTGAAATTAACTGGTTTTCCAATTTGCCTGGTCGAGAGTTACAAAATAAATACTTSAATGCACTAAGGATAAAGTGTTCTCTGCACCTTCAGGCCCAGTTAAGGACCGATGCACACTAGCAAGACATGGTGACTTGAAAGGAGCTTGGCCTGCACGTTCTTGGAAATGAATTTCCCATTCTGCATACATGTGGGATTGAAAACAAACAAACTTGCACCATGTATCAGTGGGATGATCAGTGGGATGATCTTGAATCTCTGGGATGGTTTGGTGATGGCACAGCAAATCAAATTTATGGTCAGCCTTGTTTGTTGCTTTTATAGTATTCTGTTTTTCTTACTCAAATACTTTGAAAGGCCTTCTGAACTTCTAAAATATTGAGTTTAGTAATTTTGTGAAGCTAAACATTTTGTAGTAGTACCAGCCTATTRGGAACCTAAGCTGAGATATATAAGGCAAGTATTTCTCTCTGGATGTCTTAAAATGTATAAAGGTTTTAAAAGGCTGTAGAAATATTAGTCACAAGTTGTGTTGATTGCCTAAAGAGTGGTGGTCGTCTTCTTCCCTAGCTCTGGGTTATCTGATTAACAATTTAATGGGTTATTCAAGAAGTCTAAACTGCTTTTTCTTCAGTTTGGTCAGAGTCTGAGAAGTCAGATATTTGTCTATCAGGACAGGTCCATCTCTTAGCACTCTGAAAGACTGATACTATGTATGGATTCTGCTGTCTGATTCTTCCCTTTTCAAAAGGGAAACTGTTTTCTAGGTTCCCCCCGGAAAATTTGTCAAGTTCTGTAAGCCTTTTGGGAGACTTTCTGGAGCCCCTGTGTAGYTGAAGCTACAGCATCACCAAAACAACTCTGCCTTCTACTGAACTGCCCCTTTGCCACTGCCTTCAAGCTCTGACCGAACTTGTTAAATGCAAGACCATGGAAACAGAGCAGTTAATCACTCTCCTGGCTTTTGCATTGTTTGGAAGGACAGCAGAGCTTGCATTCCTCCAGCAGCATTCCAGGCAAGAATCAATCTTGAGAACTAGTTGAGAACATGAGTTACTTGTTTTGATCACTAATTTGCTTCATACCAGCAATGTTCTAAAAGGGCGCTGCCCCCATTTTTGTAAAATGTGGGCTGAATAAAGTAGACTGATGAGGAAGAGCAGAGAAATGAATATAGTTTTCAAAAGCTAAGTTCTGCTTGTTCTCTCTGCCCCCCTGGAATTTGAATAGTCTTTTGTTTTAAAAAGGAGTGATCTCTGGCTGCTTTCAGTAATCAATCAGTTTGCATCAGTGTATAAACATGGTACAATTTTACCACAATTGCAAGCATGTCAGTGTCCTTTCCCTGCTGGGCGTCCAGAGGCAACACAATGCAGCAATCAGGACGGCTTTGGAGCAGAGAAGTGACAGGGAACACAGTGGTTAATGCAGTATCTGTGTGCTGTTGCCCTACTGTGTGCATCAGTGGAGAAGAAATTGCTTGAAAGGGATGGGGAACTGGGGTAATATTGATACTGATCGAGTTGGACATCGTCTGATCTTCGGTTAAGACGCTATTCAATTCCTCCACTGACGAGCTGGCGATATTTCAGGTCTCTTTTTCCTTTGTTGTAGTAGTAAATAATGGTTTCAGTGTGGAAATGACTAGATAAAAATCTTTCTATGCGTATTCTTCAAAACACATCTTTGGATAATACTTTTTCTAGTTTGTGCTTGGATTTTTTTTTTTTTTTTTTAATAGCATTAGTCTTAGTCTGGATAAGGGATTGATTTAGTGAAGAAGCATACACAACTGGAAAGTTCTTAGCCCCAAAGAACCTTACTTTAACAAACCCGTCTAACACTAATCTTTGCAAGCTTTTGGATAGTTTGATATAGTGCTACTTAAAATATATATGATTATGAGAACCCACTAAGTTGCAGAGAATAGAATAAACAGTTTGCATTCTAGATATTTTTCTTCTGTTTTCAATAACTAACCTGTGGAGCTTTCATGATGTTATTACTATTGTTTTTTAAGATGGAGAAGGAGACTTGGCAAGTTTGGAAATGAGATGGGAGTGCTACTGGGACTTCATTTCCTAGCAAATAATTCTCCTCAAGCTGTATAAACTTTCTTGAGTTAAATACTGTAGAAAACAAAGATATTACATTTTCAGTGAAACACTCCCAGCAACAATTGTCTGTCTTTGCTGTCCAAGAGCCTCACCAGCTGATTTAAATTTTCCTTATTACTTTCATCAGTATAAGCTTCCTCCAAAAAGAAAAACAAAGCCATTGCTTTCCTGACTTGGGGCAGAGGGGGGAAGGCCAAGCATAACGATAATAAAAAGAGCTGAAATTTTATGCATGTTTTGAGTTCATCTGAAGTTGAGTTGTAGATTCTGACTGAGCTCCTTGGCCTGCACATAAATACATATATTTTTTTAATTTGTAAGCGTGTATTTTGTAAGCATGTATATTTGTATGCAATGGTACGTGCTTTCCAGGGAGCATGTGGTTGGACCAGGGTTCCTGAGAAAGGCCTTAGCCTSTGATGAAGCTGCCAGCATAGCAAACCTGGCATGCGGAGCTAGTATATAGCATCTGCTTTTTAAAGTGCAGAAGGAATTGAATCTGAAAGACAATATCAAGAGCTAAATTTCATATATTATATACAGTAACATGAATTTGAAACTGAAGGTATTTATATCACAGGCTTGAAGCCTTAAAAGATGAAATGACATATCTACCATTGCTGCTCTGTTCTGTGCGTCGTTCCTTGTGTTGAGTGGCAAGTTTCTGGACCTCTGCTGAGTGCATGTGAGAAGCAGCAACATCAACCAGAGTGACTGTACATGAAGCTATGAGCCAGCAGTTGATTGGCATAGACCTCCAGCAGCTGTTGCATGAGTTGGAAGAATGGAGGCAGGAGTACTGGGGTTCAATGTGACAAATAGTTGGGTCAAATTAAAATAGATTAGATGACACAAGATGTCATCATTCATTAGATGGCACAAGATCCCTGCCATACTTTGGCAACCTTAGGAAAAGCTGAGCAAGCTCCATTACTTCTAGCAACTGGTGCCTTTTCTAAAGTACTATCATTCTCATTAACTGTTGATCATGTTCACAGGCCTGGCAAGTAGGGTGGCATTATCATATTGGGCTGTTCCTTCTGAACCAAATCTACAGATAAGCGTTTTTCTTGTTTTCTGTCAGATGGGGAAGCAAGACTGCCCTCATGAGAGGTATGTGAAATGGTTAATTTGRCCATCAGTCTGGGTGGTATGCCAGGAAGGAATGTTCTGTAGTACATTTACTTAATGTCCTCTCTTTGGAAGAAGCAGCTGGCCTTAGTTGTGCCTCTGCATAACTCTTCTCCCCTGCCCACCCCCATCCTGCCCACACCAGTGTGTCCTACAGAAACTACTACAGTCTGCTATGGGGAGAGAGGGGTAGAAGGGACTGCAGGACTGACCTTCACACCTTCCTCTGAGGGTGGAGAGCCAGCCTCAAGAGGCAGGCACATATTTATATTTTCCTTTGAGGGTGATCGCAAACAACTTGTCTGTGTCAAAATCTCTACCAGTATTTCTGCTGCTTCTGTATATCTTGCTGTCATGTTAAGCTCAAATAGATTGATTTCGCTGCCTCTCATAATGAATATCACTCTTCAACTCCCTCCTTTCTTTTCATGAGGGCTGACATCATCCTCCCAGTTGATGACATTGTTCAACTGGACCTGACACTTGAGAAAAAACAGTCTTGCAGAGACTGGTGGAGCATCTCTACAGCTCTAGTGCTGTCGCATATTCAAACTTCCTTTCCTTTCTGCACCAATCCCAGGTTAGTGCCCCTTTCAAAGCCTTTCCTCTCCTGTTTGCTTTTATTCAGTAGTGAGAATCTCATTCCTCTAATGCTGGCTTCCACCACCCACTTAGAGCTTTAGACAACAAGAGTCTTTGTGCTTTTGCTCTTGGTGCTTCTCGCAGCAGTTCCCCCTAAACCTCCACAAACTATATAATTGTCGTGCTTCAACTCTTCCTTGAATCTGTCTCTCACTGTGATGTCAGGGGAAATAAGATTGTAGTTTTTCTCCTATCACAGTGTTTCCCCTGTGTGAGGACACTATAGCTGTGTTTTAGGGTGTTGTGACTAGTATGGTTGGCTTGCAGTCTGCTACTGAAAGACATCAGAACTGGACTTTTTTTTTTTTTTTTTTTTTTTTTTTTTTTTTTTTTTTTTTTTTTTTTTTTTTTTTTTTTTTTTTTTTTTTTTTTTTTTTTTTTTTTTTTTTTTTTTTACACCATGAAGACTTAATTTCTTTTAAACCAAATTTCAGGTTGAATGGGAGATATCTGTACATGTGGTCTGGGGGCATATGCAATTCAACTGGAAGCTGAGTATGTAGGAAATACCTTGCCTATGTTAGTCTCTGTCTAAGTGCTCTTTTGCATTAGCACCCTTGCTGATATGCACAAAGGAGCTTAAATGAGTTTGGCGTAAATTTTGAAAGGTGGCTTTCGGAACATAACTATTATGAGACTCTATCATAGCTTCAGATTTGGGCCTTCTCCTTCTGCTGTCATCTCCTTCATGCCTTGATAGTGTCGATTTTGCTCTTGTATGAGACTGTCATGTTCCTTCTTGACTGTCTACCCTGCTGATCAGGGAGAATAAATCCTCTGTTTTATTTACAATCATTACTTTAGCATCTGTAGATGGCAATAATACTAATATGATTTCCTTTTTCCTTCTGTAGCATCTCCCTTTCTGCTTTTTGCCAACCGTCGAGATGTTCGACTTGTGGATGCTGGAGGCACAAAGCTGGAGTCCACTGTGGTGGTCAGTGGTTTAGAAGATGCTGCTGCGGTTGACTTCCAGTATTCACAAGGCATCGTTTTCTGGACAGATGTGAGTGAAGAAGCCATCAAGCAAACTTACATTAACCAAACTGGCAATGTGGTACAGAATGTCATCATTTCTGGTCTGGTTTCCCCGGATGGCCTGGCATGTGATTGGATTGGGAAAAAACTCTACTGGACGGATTCAGAAACCAATAGGATAGAAGTAGCTAATCTCAACGGAACGTCCAGAAAAGTCCTCTTCTGGCAAGACCTTGACCAGCCCAGGGCAATAGCTTTGGATCCTGCTCATGGGTAAATATCAATTTGACTTAAATGTTGAAATGGATACGGWGGTGATTTATGTAGAATTTTTACTTCTGTAAAAGAAACAGTCTTTTCTTTCATTTTACATTTTCTTAAGGTATTTTTCTCAAGATCTGTTGCTGAAACATATGTTTAAACTTAAATATTTTGTGGCAAGAAATGATAGTCCAGACATAGAGCCAAAAAAGAAAAATACAGCTGTTCATATGTGCCAACTCAATCGTTGTGATGGCCTAACTTGTTCCACAGCATTTTTGAAAAGTAGTTAATTTTCCAAGCATTTTTATTATTATTCCCTCATTTATTTTGTCTGATGAGCCAACTTTCATTTGAGATGTGATGTGTATTTAATGAGTCTAGTCAACAAGATATGTAAATCTACATGAGTCAAAACAGGAATTCTCACTTGCTATGTTCTGGTAAACAAACCCAAGATATTTTAAGTGGTGATTTTGAAATAATTATGCTTGTGCTGGCAGGTGAATGAAGGCAGGTGAAATCATGTGCTCTTGATTTGAGGTGATTAGGTGAGGAAGCAATATGAGAAACGGCAAGATGTTGTTATAGCCACTTAGATACTTGTAGTACTCTTAAATACTTGCATCTCTGCTGAGTTCCTGTCGCTCCTGCACACATGCTATTTACTGTCCCTGTGCACAAGTTATACTCTTGGTCCATTGGGCCCGGTATTCAGTGCAGTGATGACTGAAGGCCTCTTGTGCCAGCACTGCAAGGGTGTGTGGCAAGCCAGAGTGCCTTGCTCCTAAGGAAATCATACTGTTAACAGGGAGGAACCACAGATCTGGTTGCAATAGAGAGCTTTTCTTTAAACACCCCAGTATTACTGGTGAAACTGTAGTACTTCTGCAAATCTGACTCCAGTTTACATTTGGAAGGAGGAGGCATACAGGCATGGTTTGTTTTCTGTGACTTTGGAAGTTCTGTGCAACAGTAGAAATAGTCTTGCAGAGCAGATGTGCACTAGTTCTGAAACACGTGCAATATCCAGTAAGTGTGACAATAGAGACATTGTTTCAGCCTTGCTTCCTGTTGCCTGGGAGTTGTACTATGTTCAAYTCTCTGCTCAATGTTGCTTTCTAAGAATTGTGTCCAAAAATTGTGTCCAAAAGTCTGGCATACTAAGAAGTTACACTGAGAAGTTGCCACCTTCTACCTGTGAGGTAGCMTATCTTGTTTATGCCCTCCCTCCCTAGGTCTGTAGTACGTGGACTCTTTCCTGGATGACTTATCTGCTTCTAAGTATCCTGTGTTTATTCCTCTAAGGAAAGTGTGAAATGAGCTTATATGAGGAATAGGATTTATTTGCCAAAACTTGACATATCTATGTGTAAGCCAGTCACTCCAAGATGTTGTTTTGATTGACATAACTGCTTGAGATGAGGAGCAAATGAGGAATCTTTTGAGCTTTGCTCAGGTGTGCTTGCATTGCCAATGCATTAGCTGATTTTGGACTTGGCTTGAGTTAGTTCAGTCTGCAAGGATTTCCCTCCTCACCCGCCATGGGAGCAGCAGCCTCCAACTATTAGTTTTAACTTGTGGCAGACATTGTTAATGTTTAGCCCATTTAATTTGCATGTGCTAATTCAGTGCAACACAGTAATGTAAATAAACTTTAAGTGGTTATGTGATAGTGAAGTAGGAAGATACATGTACTTTTCCTTACTAAACCACTCTGCTCCTTATGGATTATTAAAACCAACCTCCACRGAACTGCCATTCTGAATAAAGTGACAAATCCAGTATTCAGTAATGGCACAGGGACCCATTGAATTGATTGTAGGTTTGCCCAAATAAATGATGCCAGTTGGTCTAACGTAGTGAATTTAATAAATCAGCACATCATACATTGCATATATTTGTTCGTGGAATAAAACATTCAAGTTTACAGTAAATTTACAAGGACCTCATTTCACGTGGTGGTTCTGAAAAGTTTTGTAGGTACTGTCTGTGCGGTAGTGGTCCCCATTGTGGTTTTAGGCACAAACGGCTCTGGGTTTGAGCTATCCTAAAGCCAATAGCTCCTATTTTCTGTTATTTGCAAGGAAAAAAAATATGGRTTACACTACTAAGGAAAAAGAGAGTTTTCTTGGTTAATAGCTTTGTGTAGTCAACTGCATAGTGCAATTACTGCTAGTGGCAAAAGCCTAAGAACTTGTGGTAAAATAGAAGAGGCTCCATCAACCTCCCTAGGTAGTCTTTTCCACAGCTTTAAGCAGCCTTGCCATTTCAGAGCTGTCAAATCCCCTTTACTATTATGCTCTTTTAAACTTTCTAGCCTGGTCTACTGTGGACTTAAGGAGATTCTATTGCTAGGGACCTTTAAGAGCAAATTATTTGATCATGTGTCAGGAATGTAATAGGTGTGATTGACCAAGCCTTAGGGTGTGAGAAATGGACTTGCTGACTCAAGAAGGTTCCTTCCCAAGCCTTCTCTTTTGTGATGTCAGGCTGAAATGCAAAAGCTTGGTTTTTGAATGTTTTGGCAGGCTTGCCAAATAGTAACTTGAAATTTTCAGGCATAATGACATTTTTCAAGTGAACTTCATCCTTTCCATATTCAGCTCATCTTGCTTCTGTGGGGTTAATGGTCATCTGAGGGCTTCTGTGTTGGGGCAATGGATTTTAGAATATCTGACTACTCTGTAAAGGTCAGGTACGCAAAGCATAAAATATTTTTCTGCAAATTCATTGGCCATTTGGTCTGAGCATTCAGATCCCAGACTGGGTGTGGGTTGTATGTGAAGCTGAGTTTATTTTAATGGAATCTATATGGTTAAGTTCTTGATGTTATTTCAAAAAACATCAGCATTTATATGCTCGTACATTCTTGATAGGTAAACATCTTGTGGGAGATTCAGTAGTCTTTGTTTTTCCAAGTTTGAATTTGCAGTTTCTGTTTGAGTGTTCGTGTGCTTTTGGCTCAACAGTTTCTAACAAAACTCAAGATAGTGTATTTAAAATTTTACTCGAGTCTAAAGAAAGATTTTGTATGGCCAAGTGAAGAGAAACCAAAACATACACATGTTGTTTGAAGAAGCAAGAAATCATTTCAGTAACAAGTGTTTATGTTCACACAAGGAAACTTTACTTTCCTCAAAAGAAAAATTTCTAAACAACATGTGAATGCATAGCCAAGTGAGTTTTCAGTTACGTAGGGAAGGTCTTGGATCTGAACAGCCTAGAAGTGTGTTGGCAAGGGCGTTAAGACTAGAACCTCTGAATCTACAGCATGAGACTGCTGCCTTGGACCTAGAATGCATGGCTCTGACTCTGAGCAGTTGTAGTGCATACACAGACCTGCTGTTCACTGCTAAGTGCTAATGAAGGTAAATTTGGGACAGCATTTCAACTAAGATGATTTAGTTGMCATTATTAAAGCCTACAATTTAAACACAACTACTTTGAATAATAAAAATCTTGGAGTTCCTGGTTGTGAGACAGTTGTGCCCGTATTATGTAGAGCAAGCTTGCTGCTCGGGTTTAGTCTGCTTTCCGTGTTCGGGTTCCCTCAGAAGAGAACACTGCTGAAGAATTTTCTTCACTGGTTGTTGTCTGACTGAGCTCTTTGTCTTTCAAACCTTTTTGAAATGATTAGTGTTTGCTCTGGTCCTCTTTGTGGAAATGAAGAGAGCAAGGACCTTTAAAATGGTTTGGTTGGCTGAAGGAATTGCAGAGGAAGCATATGAACATAGCTGCATCTTTCTCTATTTCCTCCCTTGTTTTAGTTCTTCATGCAATGGCATGAAAGATATCTCGTCCCATTGGACAAGGGGAGTGCAAGTAGGGTAGCACAGCAGCTACCTTGATTTATGTACCAGCCTTCCCTTTTTAGACTGACAGAGGCTTTCAAGGAAGGAAATGAGAAATATGCAAATTTGAAAACAGCAATTAAAAGATTATTGGTTACAAAGGATAAAGCTATTAATCATCAGCTTTGGCATATTGCAGAGTGGTCATTAGCTTAGAGGTTAAAACAAGTCTAGTCAGGTTCTGAATAGTGTTAGGAAGAATTTGTGTTCCCTGGTTTAGTCTACCTTCTCCAGGTTGCTTATAGTATGTTAACTCAACATTATGCAATGACTGCCACTGGCTAATAAGGTATATATTTGCCATAGAAGAAAAGGATGAGATGACTAAGTATGACAAGTGTGGGGTATAAAAAAGTATTCAGAAGGGAGAGCCATAAAGATTAGAAAGCTCATAGTTTAGAGTCTGAAGTAAGAGCTCTCAAATATACCTAGGTGCTAATCTGTGCTTCCTTAGTGCTAACACCATGAACCAGACYTGTTGCTGTTCGTACATAATTCACAGCTGTGTTTACAGCTGCACTTAAGTAGAGCTGTAGTGGTGTTTAGTGCTGATTCACYAAGATCTTGGACCCACACAACTCTATGTTGCATGATTAAGTTAAGCATGTTGGCTTTCCTGTTCTGAAATCTTTGGGATCATCTGTGCGCCAAAGCACAGGTTCATGTGTGCTGCACTGGACTGAGGCTTAGAATAGTCTAATTTAAAATTGCTTTGTAAGGTGAAATGTATTTTAACAGTGTCTCAACAGTCTGATCTTATCTCTTTCGAAGCCACTGAGAGGGGGAGAATGCTACTGATAAAAAATTGTGACTASTACACATATCAGAGAAGGAATAAGTTAAATCTGCTATGGGTAAAGATTATGCTTTTGAGCATTGCTTAGTTGTGGCTACTTGATTGAAACACAGAAGATGACCTTGTTTTGAGAGGAACTCTGGATTACTTCTCCCTAGAAAGGCAGAGCTTAATTTCTACTGTATGTGTCTAAGTAGTTAACCTGAAGTATATAACTATTTTGAAGCTGAAGGTTAATTGTTTGAAGCACGGTAATGGGCATGGATGTATGAGTAGTATCGTTGTTTTCTTATAAGAAAAATACTCAACTGTAAAACTGGTTATGAGTCATAGGCAGTCTCCTGGTCTGGTGTAATTTCTGG